ACAACAACAGCCAGCTGTGCTATACCTCATCTGCACCATGGGGGGCGCTGCTGCCGGCGGAGCAGCAGACATACCTCATCGTCACCCAAAATCATAACCCAGAGGACTGCGGTATAGTACCCCCCCCACCTTTGCACTTTGTGTGTGTATCCCACAATGTCATAAATTATTTGGATGGTGTGGGGACCATTTTTCAGTCCTCACTACGGTAAACTCAAAGATTTTATAAAAATCTGTCACTACAAACAAAAAAAACTACAAATATCTTGCATTTTGTTTGGCTACTTATGGTTAAGGTTGTCAAGTTTTAGGGTTTTGCCCATAGAAATTAATGGAGAGTCCCCACAAAGATTTACATGCCTAATCTGTTTGAGTGTGTGATGATTGCCTGGATTCAGCTGAGTGTTCTCAGTTTTCTATCCAGCACTGGAGGCTGGGCAGGAATCTGTCTGCGCATTTCCAGTGTCTTTATGGGTGTTATTATCTTTCACCTCAGTCTGGGAAATCCTGGCACTGATTCAGTTGCTGTGAGTCTATACCGTGCGGCTCGTCTTGATCATTCGGCGAGCTGTGAGAATGTGTAGCAACAACACCAGCCAATCAGGCAGCTTGAAGCTTTAAACTGGTTTGAGAAGATTATTATTGTGCCATTTAGCATGACTCTGGCGCAGGTTCGGCATTTCATTTAAAGTTACTCTTCTTGTTTCTTTCCCCTTGTGCTTTTTTATTGTTTGACCATGGTGTGACCATATGAAGAATACAGTTTTGAAGTGTGTGCTGATTTTCCATACAAGAGCAGCATGTGCACCCATTTTAAAGCTGCTTTTTTTGTCTGGGCACCAGCTTCAGTTTTTCTCCGATGTCGTCTCCTCATGTTGTCTTTGTGCAAACCCACGCCCCTCCATTGTCCCACACAGCCGCTGAAGGGCACGTTTGCCACCCCCTCTGTGCGGACAGCAGGTGCTGGGGACCTGGAGCTGGACAGTGTGTGTCCTGCCTGAAGTACCGGCGTGGCACAGAGTGTGTGAAGGAGTGTAACGTCCTGCAGGGGTGAGAAGGGGGAGGAGCTAGGTGAATGGGGTGAACATATCACACATACAGCCACAAACACAATGTACTGGAACACCCACCCAAATTATCCTTTAATATATTATACATTCAAGAAAATGAATCTCAAAGTGTTTGCATGCTGAATGGAAACAGAATCAAATATGGCCACTTATGGTAAGTGGTTCCACTCCATCTTCTGTCCAGGGTGGAACGCGAGTACAGCAACGGCTCCGTCTGTGTCCCCTGCCACTCTGAGTGCTTGCTGTTAAATGGCACCGCCTCCTGTTACGGCCAGGTGAGGGAGCGGCCTGGGGCTGATGGGGCTGCCTGTGGGTGTGGCCAGGCAAGGGCGGGGCCATCCTCTAGCTTTCATTGCCTACCGTTCCACTGCTTTTCCACAGGCACCACCCAAGCTTTGCTTACCATTGGCTGCCTTTTTGCCGGCAGGGTGCGCACCAGTGCCTAGAGTGCCGTCACTTCCAGGATGGGGAGGCGTGTGTGCAGAGCTGTCCCAGCAGAGCCAAGGAGGACCAGCACGCTGTGTGGAAATACGCCAATGCCACCAGGCACTGCCTGCCCTGCGGCACCAGCTGCTCCCCACCGTGAGTTCAGCACCCACTGCTAAGCGGAAAATGTTATCGGGGGAAGATGCCTTAATGATACGGATTGGGTCAGCCTGATCTGTATGTACTGGGTGTGTTGGAGATAATATCTGTACAAAATTAACATTAATCCTCTCCCCCCCACTACCGGATGGATGGATGGATGGAATATGAACGTTAGGTACGGAATTCTTAAACTTCATTAAGTCCCTTCTGTTGGCTTTGTCTGAGTAAATTGCATTTAATGCTAATGAATTTTCATTTTTGGGGCTAACAGTGCTGGGAAGCTTGCCTTGTTTGCTCAGACAAAGGAAAGCGCTCAGTAATAGGGAAATTTTTTGGTGCATCATACAGCTGTTCATAGCCAGATACTACCAGACAGTAGTAACCCTAGTAATCTTGGGATATCCAAACCTGTGAGTCTTCCTGCATGGTACCCTGCAGACTGGCCTTCTCCCATGTGACCTGATCCCCCCACCCCGTGTTTCAGATGCAGTGTGTTGGATGAGCGTGGCTGCCCCATTACCCAGAAGGCATGGTGAGCATCCCTCATCGCCGGCTCCAGTGGATGGATTTGCCGGTGCGAGTAATGCTAGCACTTTGTCTGCTGCTGCTTTCCCATAGGCTGGGCACCTCTGTGGCAACGGCTGTGGGTGGAGTCTTCCTCCTCCTCATCCTGCTGGCAGTGCTGTTGTTCCTCCTGCGCCGACAGAGACACCTGAGAAGGAAGAAGACACTGAGGAGGATCCTGCAAGAGCACGAGGTAGGAAGGCGGCGCCTATTAGCTTCTGTTTAAAGCAGCCATTGTTTTCAGGCTCTCCGTCTAGCTCAGACTGTAATGCAGCAGCGCAGGTTAAACAGCAGTTATGGGGCTGCCCCCGAGGTGCTTGTGTTTCACGCTGGACCTGCGCTTCCCTCGCCCTCCAGCTGGTGGAGCCGCTGACCCCCAGTGGCGCTGTGCCCAACCAGGCCCAGATACGCATCTTGAAAGAGACTGAGCTGAAGAAGGTCCGGGTCCTGGGGTCCGGGGCCTTCGGCACGGTCTATAAGGTGTGTACATGACCACACACACACACACACATGTAGGGTATACATATCCTTATGGTGACCACTCATTCATTCATGGGAAAAATGCTAACGCTAACTATGACAACCTTAACCCCTACCCTGCCCTAACCATAACCATAAGTAACCTAACAAAATACAAGAGTTTTTGCATTTTTAGTTTTTTCATAGCAGTCACCGATTTTTATAAAATAGAGGAAACCGGTCCCCATAAGGGGAAAAAAAACGGATATTTATCACGTTATGGGGACATTATGTCTCCATAAGGATAGGTAAACCCAGTCACACACACACACACACACACACACACACACAGCCATAGGCACACACTGCTACCATAGCAATTAAAGTTGTACTTCAAAGATAGGTCAGGCTGCCCTAGAATCTTTGAACAGGGTAATTTACTTAAAATTACTGGGTAATTAAAGGGCAATTAACTTGAAAATGCTTCAGTGAAATGATACTTTATAAAGGGTTTGAAGACTAAAGTTCTGCTTACACTTGGTTTTAAAATGTGTTTTGGGTGTTTGGAGCACAAGTGGACAACAGAAAATACAAGTGTAAAAGACTCATTGTAATTTGGTCACTCAGACCACTCGTTGTGATGGTCTGGGACACATCTGACCATGTATTGTTTGTAGTGTAAATGCTAATGCGTCCTGATGCATCCCCGACTATGTGTCACAAGAAAATACATCATCAATGCAAGACGTGTTGGTTATTTTGGTCACAGCATGCCAACTCGAAAAAATGGAGAGCAGCACTAATGTACAGTTGGAATAGTCCATACATGTGTATTAGTTCTTGAAGCATAAACATATCTGGCACTTGTCTGGTGACAGAAAACGACATACCGTATTTTTCGGACCATAAGACGCACCGGACCATAAGACGCACCTAGTTGTAGGGGAGGGAAATGAAGAAAAGGGGATAGAAGTAATTTGTCAAACTATAGGCCAATCAGTCTAAGTTGTATAACTGGTAAAGTTATGGAGGCTATAATCAAAGAGAAAATGGTAGATTACCTGGACTCAAATAACATTTTGAGGGATAGCCAGCATGGATT